TCCATATTCAGTGACAAAAATAGTCTGCAAGTAAGAAGTGACAGTGGGTTTAAACAAATTTCATTTGCATATATTTGACGAATCCTTTTTGATAATAATTGGTTCCGATCTACCAGATGGTGTCGTCACAATCCTTGAACAAATCCAATCAGGCAAATGTGAACTCTCCTTTCCAGAGCAGCCTCTAGATTGCAGCAGAGCACAAATGAGTAGAAAGAAAATCATTTGTCTTTAACCATGTTGCCAACTTGGCGCATTTTAATATATGCGTAGGTTTATCCAATCAAACACCTCAAATGTGTACAATAGGATCAATAAGAATAAGGCCTTCAAAATGTAAATTTATGCTTTACTCGAAATATCGAAATTAATTGAACTAAATTTTATGAATGTTAATTAATTTTGTGAGCAAACTAGGGCTTGCTCTAAAATTTTGAGGTCTTTTTATATTCAAAAAATTTGAAACCTTATACAAAGCTTGCAAATTGACAAAAGACCTTTTTTGTGATGTGTGCATTGCAGAACAATTCTAGATATTTATATATATGTGACAATTATCGATTATGTGTTTGTGGTTAAGAATATGAATACAAATCTAAATCGATTGATTGAATCAGGTTGTCTGATAGACAGTGCAGTGCAGGAGAGTGGAACATTGATGTTCAGGCGATGTGACCAAATTAATGAGGTTTTGATAAAACTTCCAGGTGTAAGTTAGTCAAGTAGAGTTGACTGCGTTTTGATGCGTGAATGCATGTTCCAAACCTGGCACAATTTAAAGACGAATTTCTAAATTACAATCAAATAATCCAAGCACTGTGGAAGAGTAACGAATAACGTGAACTTGCGCTTAGCATAGAGTTCCAGCACTAGGTGGAAACGCACTTACAATGTAAAAAGCTGTTAAACAGATTTCGGAAAAGTATGAAAATCGTTAAAGGGTAAAAATCGTGTTAAAGTGTAATGAGTGGACATAAATTTATTACTTGTGGGAGTTACATTGCTGATTCTTCCAAGATGGTACTCACTTAGCAATTTTAACGCTTTGTTTTGGCTTGCATAGTGCTCATTTAGGTTGAGCTGTTGGTGGACACTGTGCGTTGCAAAGAGGAAACAGAATAAATAGTAATGAATTAATAATCATTATTTAGAAACCCAAGTCAATTTCAGCTTATTTTAGAGCCTAAATAGCGCTTCACACGAAATTATCTTATGGTCTGATGAAAATGTTACCCTTTCCCATTAGACTGACCTTGTTCGAAAATTCCAATTACCAGTCAAATACTAAATTATTGAAGGACGAAGGCTCTTATCGACTCAGAAAGTCCTCGTCGTTAAATCTTTTTGGTTTGATGCACATAAAACTTGCCCAAATTTGCATTGGAGAAGTAAAAAATGATTAATAACCCCAATTAAAAAAATGATGTATAATTTTGAAATGGATATATCTTCTATTATATATCACTCAAAATTAATTATGCTCATCAACTGACTCTTACCAGCATTTGAAGGTTTCATTTTTGATGGCCTTAATTGGGGGAGAAATTGAGAGAGCTATCGATTGGACAATGTGCGTTGCAAAGAAGAAAACAAATTAATAATAATAAATTAATAATTTTAATTTAGAAAATAATGTTTATTTTGGCTTATTTGAGTGCCGAAATAACATTAAGAAATATGGAGTGTCTTAATGGAAATTAACCTTATGTAAATCATTAGACTGAACTTCTTTCGTCCATTTACATATTTGGTAAATTCAAATTACAAGTCAAATGCTAAATCATTGAACGACGAAGGCTCTTTTCAATGTAAAAAGCACTCATCTTTGAACCTATCTGATTTGTTTTTGAAAAGTTAATGACAATTAATAATCTCAATTTTAAAAAGGCGATTTATACCATTCTAAATGCAAAAAATCTACTATTATATATCACTCAAAATTAATTATACTCATCAAATAACTCATACTTGCAATTGGAAATAACATTTTGAAGGATTTCTAGTGCGCCTTAATTGGGAGAGAACTTGAGAGAGCTATTGATTTTCTATTAAATGCTGGTAATCATATTTTAGAGGCTATAATTCACTCAAGTTTTACTATTTCCACTTATTGTTTTACTGCTTGATTCAACTACGCTTTTACGTATTGTACACAGGGTGTTAATAATTGTTATAATAAAATATTAAAGTTAATGTGAAGACAACGAACTTATCACTTTTTTATTAACCAAACGCTTGAGATTTTGTCATAAATGCTCACAATTGTGAAGGTACCATTTAGAAAGATTCTATTCCTAAAAATGTGTTCCACTATGGGGTCAAATAATCTTAGATGCATCGATTGATTACATGAAGAGAAGAACTTAAAAACAAAATTTTATCATTTGTTGATATAAAAAAAATAAACAATAATAAGAGACGTTATATAAGTTGAATAGGTTCCTTGAACAATGGAACCGATTCAGCTACTTGTGATGAGTGGCGAATCGGCTTTTAATCTCCCAACAGTGTAGCAATATGGTAAAGATATAGGCTTCAATTTTTTTTCGAACATTTGAATTACGAATTAACTTCCGATATTGGGCCGGCATTTCGCCTTCGAAGTAGACGATGCAAAATTTAAATTCCTTCTTTATAATAATATGGTAATAATGATTTATTCAATTAACCATAGTTCTCTATTTGATTTTGCAGTTGAATTTTTAGTTTTGGGAATGTTTAGATATTTGAAACTTTATTTATTTCAAATGGCAGGCTTTATGATATTTTTTATTAGCCCTTAATCTTTGACTTCAGCTTCCCCAAGAGGGGGGGGGGTACATTTATAGTAGTTAATTAATAGCAGTTCATTAGCTGTCTTCTTGCTTCCCAGTATCTCTGGCTTTCCGTCGTTGTCTTTAGGGCTGGACATCGAATCAGGTGGGTCTTCTCCATTTCCTCATGTAGTTTTAATAGAGGGCATTTGGGTTGAGTGTATACTCCCAATCTGTGAAGGTGTTTTGCCAAGCAATCGTGTCCGGTACGTAGTCTAAACTCAGCAACGGCTTCGATTCTTGGCCAGTCGGGTATGTCGGAGAGTGCCACTGTCCACTATTCTCCTTTGTTCCAGCTTTGAGTTCGTTGAACCTTGAGGTCTGGAATTCTCTCCTGATTAAGGCCTTCATTGTGTGGAAAGACATCGGCCGGTCCATGCATTGCAAAACCGTTGTCCTCTTCTTAGCAAGTGTGTCAGCAATCTCATTGCCTTTAATGCCACAGTGACCAGGAATCCATTGTAGGACCACTGTTTTGTTTTTCTCTCTCAGCAGCTCATAGAGTTTTCTACATTCCCTTATCTCAATGAATGCTTTTATCCAGTTTACCATGTTATGCTTAATACCAATCTTTGCCAATTTTAGAATTAGCTTCTCTTTCCATACTAAGTCATATGCTGATTTGAAATCAACGAAAACAGCCGTAAGGGTATTTCTTGCATCAAGGGCATCTTTGATGTGTTTGGAGAAAGTGGCTACTTGTTGCCTTGTTGATCTTTGTGGCGTAAAACCTGCTTGTTCACTCCTAAGAATATTGCTAGTTTCAAGAAACCAGGTCAGCCTCCTGCTAACCATTCTTTCCATAAGTTTAGCCAGCACGCTTGTGAGGGAGATAGGCCTATAGTTGTCAAAGTTACTAGGGACTTTGCCCTTTTTGGCACTGGTATTTCTATGGCAACTTTTCATTGTTTAGGTACAAGACTGGTCTCACAGATTTTGTTGTAAATCGTCAGCATGGTTTCCTTGGCTGTCGATCCCATTCTAATTAGATATTCTGGATGAATACCGTCTTCGCCATGAGACTTCTTGCACTTTAGCTGTTTTATCGCAGCATTAAGTTCGCAAGGTCGGAATGGTTCAGTAAGTACATTATTTGGTGTTGCTACGTCTTCCTTAATTTCACCAAACTGTCTTACTTGTATCTTTAAATCTCTTGAGGATTTTCTGACAAAAGGGTTTTTCTTTTGCTTGTGGGAATAGAACGTCGCAAAGCAGTTAGCNATCAAAGAAAAGGCCTTGATCCTGTATGAGAAACTACTGCGCATTCCCATGGACAAATTCTTCAGCTCCTATGAGAATAGACCAAGACATCTGAAAACGCAATCTGGTTTAATACAGAAAGCCATAGAACTGAAGAAAGCGTTACAAATCGATGATAAACCAAAAAGTTTCTCTCTCCCCATGAACCCATTAGCAGACATTGATGTAGTGTGTCGCACCCAACTGCTCGACTTCTTCAGGAAATCAAACACTCCTCCCGAGCAAATGCGCTCACTGGCCCTTGAGACAATCAATGTCAACTATCCTGCAGATCAATGGCTCCAAGTCTTCACTGATGGGTCATACATAGAAAGCCAAGCAAACGTTGGTGCAGGTGTCTATTCTGAACTCTTCTCTTTCTACGCAGCAGCGGGACATAATAGATTCGCTTTTGAAGGAGAAATAGAGGCTATTAGGATAGCACTATGCCAATTATGTTGCCTGGATAC